AAATGTCATTTTTGTTCAACTTAAAAAAAAACAAAAAAAAAACTAGCCATAGTTTCATTTGTAATGTGCAACTCATCCAAAGGTGTGGCGTCATTGAGGGCAAATATCATATGTTCTCATGAGTATTTCAGTAAAAGCCATACATTTCAGTCTGTTCTTCAAGTATATTGTATGGCTTCAGAGTACGGTGACGCATTGATGCCACACACATTTTTTTTTTTCACCATATTAGAATAAATAGAATAAAAGAAGTAATGTAAATATGCTTCAAATTTGTCAATGACTTACTGACGTGCACGAAAACCAATGTATTGGACCCGGAAATAACGTCTCTATGTAGATATTATATACTATAATATATTTTTATATAAAGTATATTATAGGCTATATAATTATGTAAAATATAATATTATACGTATAAATATAATATAATATCATATAATATAACATAATATAATATAATAATAGTTATTATATCCAAGTTCTCTGGAACGCAGCATTAGGTTAACATTTCAATAAACGCGCGTGTACTACAATTACTAGCCATTCTATAAGGTGGCATTTCAGCACTTGACAAACGGATAGCGACTCCTAAGTAGCACTCAAAGCACGGCTACGTGCGATTGCTTTAAGTGCATTTTTGAGAAATGCACGTGAAACAATAACGAACGCTCTTAAGCTCTAAGATCAATCGTTATCGAGAAACGCAGCCCAGGCTTTGCTTTATACTGAAGGAATAGGCTGCGCTGCGCCTGGGTGTGAGCACAAAATACAGATGAGCTCAGACGGGAAAGACTGTATAGTACCTCTTGTTGGATTTAGGCTATACGAATTAAATAAAAACAAATTTGTTTTCGATTGTTTTATTTAAGTAGACCTTTAGACATAACAAGATGCGCCAGAAAGCGCACCCTGTTATTTTACAAAAGCAATTTGTAACGTTTTGTTGTTATTGTGGAAGTATAGAAAATAAAGCAGACATTTCTTTCCTCTGTTATCACAGTGTAGCCCAAAGGATCGCGCCGGCGCCGCCGAACCAACAATAACAGTGTTGTGCTTCATATTACATGTATAT